GGCCAGCCCAAAAATCCGATATATCGGGGATAATATCGGATTATCGGCCGATATTTAAAACACTGGTTGCTGTTCATGACACTGTTTGCGATACTATTCACGAGAGGATTAAAAAACATAATTTGAATCACTCTAAAAATCTCTTTGATCAATAATTCTTATTCAAAATTCACTCCTTATCACATAAAAGTTCCTCCCTTTTATAGAGAGTTGAAAATAACTCAAATCTTATCTAAAAGCAAATCAAATCTTATCACTAAACAAATCAAATCTTATCTACAAATATGTAAATATTTATCTCTAAACAAATCAAATCTTAGCGATCTTAATTCTATCAATCACTTTATTCTTATCATAACATTATTTAAGTAAGATCAGCCCTTATCTCAAACTGATTAGAATCTGCTGATATCTCAATGAGATCTAAGATGCTAAGTCCCTCTACAGTAGAATTGGGTATAGTGATCTCTATCACTTTGTGATAAGACGAAGTGTAGGATCCGCATTAAGGGGAAAGTTAATCAGGTTAAGGGAATTAACAAGGTTTCTGAAGTCATTATTTTCTCTCAAGGAGCCTCAGTTCCCACTTCTTTCACCAGAGCAAAGAGTAACATTGAAGTCCCCACTTGACACTCATGGATTATAAAAAATTCTCTGTAATTCTGTTTAACTCCCACCAACGGACCTCCTTTTCCTCCCTCAATGTCTAGACAGACATAAAAACAGAACTCAAATTAGAAGAGAGATACAAAATATTGATTGCCACATATAAGACCCCTGCATATGACTTCTTAAGAGAGAAAGAGCTACTCCATCCTACCAAAACTACATCTTTACATCAGAAGATTCCAACTGGCCAATGAGTAAACTTAAACTCTCTAATGAGCTTAAAGTCTCTTTCACTAGTAGAAGCTAATTTAGTTTATAGAAGGCCAACCAAATCAAGACCTTACAGAAGAACGACATCTTTAACTATTCTTATGGCTGAAAGTAGCTCTGTGAGGTAATTTCTTCTTGTATTGGGAGCTTCTCTTAGTAAATCTAGGTTGTCTAGAAGAAAGTAACGAATGTGGAATCTTTAGAAAAATGCTCATAAGTACCCACGCTCTCTACTGTCACGAAAAGAGCAATATAATTTGCTGAATTGTCCTGCTCTAAATTTTTGTTTGAAAATATCTCCTATGTTAACTTTTCTATAAGGACCTTTTTGCCCTTCCATTCTTTTCAACAACCCTAAAAGGAAAATCTGTAACAGGTTGATCTGTGGCTAATTCGTTAGATACATTGATAATTTATAGCCCATAAACCCTTCACAGAGAAAGGAAAGAAATTTGAGTCTTCCCAGGAATCCACAAAAGATAAGGGAAAGTGACTTGTTGAGGCATCGAAGAGTTATTAAAGATAAAGAGAAAGACATCGAAGAGTTATTAAAGATAAAGAGAAAGAGCCTTTACAAATTAGATTGGATTTCACAAGGTTACTAAACCTATGAGTTGCCCCTTAGTGACCTAAAGAAAAGACGCAAGTTGTTGATCCACCCATAAAGTTTCCATTGGGATTTTTCCTTGATCTTTTAATCCCGTAAAATACATACCTTCCGTCTCCGATCTATACATTCCAACACCAATGGCAGTGATTACAAGTTGTACTTCCCTAGTCAATTCATCCACTTGAGGTTTGTATGAGCAGATAATTATTTTAGGGGCATTTTCTTGGGCCTTGACTTGAACTAGAACCCTCATCATATCCATTCATCTTGACCTTGACGTTCTTGCATGTTGAGACCTACTTTCCAAAACTCCCTACTATCTTACTCACTGCCTCATAGAACCAAAAATAAAAAGTTTTTTTATTTTAATTCAAAAATAGTAATATGAGTTAACAACCTTTGTTCCCAAATTTTCTCTCCACATTGAAAATCGGCCAAAAAACTTCTCAAAGCTAGTGATTCCCTCGTCAATGACCTCAGACAAACAATAAATAGAAGGGAATTCCACAAGAAAATGAGACTTGTCCAAAGGAACAATCTTTCTTGCCTAGCCAAAAAATCGTAAAATGCCTAGAAAATTTGACCTTCATGAACTCAACAAAAAGAGTTTCATCCTTCAACGAGAAAATGACCGAAGGAAAAAGAGCGTTTGCATTCAAAATAACTTGTCAAGAATTAGAGAGATCTATCTACCTTCTTCTATTGGGGTCGTGGATGAGATCAATAGTTAATTGCTATATTCTCCTCTTCATTGCACTTGAACACATGCACCTCTCTTGCACCACCTTGTCGTATGAGATTAATCCCCACAGTTATAACACTGTCTAATTCTAGTTTTTGGTTTGCTTTATTTAGCATTTATTGTGTGCTTAATGGAAAAAATATTTTTTTTTCAGTGTTTTAAAAGTAAAGGCGAGGTCAAGGTGATTAGGTCCTATGTTGCTTGAGGAGAGAGACACCAAAAAATGCGATCAATTGAGTGAACAAAGACTATAAATGTTCCAAAAATTTATAAACATTACAAATAATATACAAGAATCAATAAATAGCAACAAGACAATCACACCCGAATTTTCAAAGTCACAAATCTAATAAATAAACCATACAAATGTAGTAAGTAACAAACATTGAATAGTAGTATTAACTAATAGTTGCTAACACATAATTAAGCAGCAAACTTTGGACTTTAAGGTTCAAATTGTGGCATATCCTCAAAATGATGTAGGTAATAAAGTTCATTTCAACAAAAAATAGCAAAAAATAGACGATGTAAAAAGAAACACAAAATCCAATAACTAAAACAAACTTTACTATTGTACACCTTTTGTATTCTCAAAATTTTGAAACAGAGACAAACACCTCACGCCTTACATCACATGCCTTAGATGAGCCCATGAGGCGCCAAGGCAAAGTCACGAGGCGCCAAGGCGAGCCCTTGAGGCGCCAAAAAGTGATCACTTTAGTAATATTTCTTAAATTAAGTCATCTAGCCATTACATCAAAACTTCGAAGTTATGGTGAGGGTCGAGGATTATAGTTTCATATTAATTCTAACATGCCTTACAGTTTGAGCGCTCTTTTTATGGATTGAAAACTTAGACTCACGTAGTGGTAACAAATTTTTTAGAATCGACATTAAATTCATGGCTAGCAATATTTGAACTTGGATTGCTCTGATACCATCTTAAATTAAATCCTCTAACCATTACACCAAAACTATAAAGTAATGGTGAGGGTTGAGCATTATAGTATTATATTAGTTATAACAACATTCATTGTCTGGCAATATGCAAGGTGCTGAGTTAAAATATCGCCTCGCCTGAGCGCTTGAGGTGCATTGCCTTTAAAACACTTTTTTTCTAACAAGTTGCAGAGAGATTGAGACAGTTTAAGAAAAATAAATGAAATCATTTTGCAACATCATATCCACATGTTCTTGCCAATATTTAATGTGAACCCTTTTTTATTGCCAATGTTTGATAGATTGTGCTGCCATTTTTTCCTTCATTTGCTAACAAGTTTATTCTAATTGGTGTTCACCTCCTTTTTGGGAGAAGTTGTCTTCATTGTTGCTAGGCTTGAATTCTGAAAAGAAAGAGAAGGTATGCTTCCCTTGTTGATTCTGAGGATGTGTGCCAAAAGATACTTGATTGCTGCTCCATTGACTGGGCGAACGCTAGTTGTTAGGATTTGGTTTCAAAGGGAGTTTCAATGAAGGTTAATCTTGGGGGTGTTAGAGGAACCCGTCGACAAGGAGAACCTCAATGTGGAAGCTAATGGTGGCAATGAGCCAAGCTTGAAGAAGCTAAAAAGTTGGTAAGCATAGAAAGGCAAGAGCCAATAGCTGAGAAAATGCTGAACTTGAGAGCAAAAATTCCAGCCCCTTTCACAAAGGCGAAGGGTCTGTATTGTTGGCAAACAGGGCTTGCATGGAGAGACATTAGCCCTCAACACGAGGTTAATGTGGTCAAATCAGCATTTAATATTTTGTAGAAGGCTGCAGGCACTCAGGGTCACTACATGAGGTTAAGGCCTTACATGAGGTTAAATCCTTGCACGAACTGCCGGTTTGAATAGTTTTTAATGAGAACAGACAGTTCTTACCATGCATCTATTTGACATTTAGTGTCATTTTTAGCTTTCACAGCTGCGTGCCACCAAAATGTGGGCAAATCTTTAACCCGCACCATGAAATGGTGGGCGTGCGGGGTTAAGATATTAATGAGGTGGCCCCAATCACGTGCACTACAGCCTTTTACTACCCAGTGTCGCAGAGTTGTGGGGGCACGAGGTTAAGCTTGTCGTTCCCAAGGGAAGTGTCCCCACCATAATCTACTGCTATTAATGCAGCAAATTTGATGGTAGAGGTTGCTTAAGTGACGTGGCATAGGCCACTAGCTAACCTTGCGCTGGTGCGGGGTTAGTTAACCTCTTGTTGGTGCGAGGTTGGGCAAGCTTGCTGTCTTTCGATCTGGATTTAGTCATGTTTTTCACCCTATTTTTTACTTAGAATTTTGTAGATTTTTAAGTCAATTTTTAGACTCATATGGCTCTGATGAGTCTGTTGGTCATGTTAAATGATCATTTTGCCCTTGGTGGGGCCTACATAGCGTTTGAGCTATTCGTTCGACAGTTTGTCATTTTTTAACCGTCGACAACCTGTTTTTGTTTTCCAATATTAACTACAACTTAACTTCTTTTCGAGAAATCTGGTTGTAGCATTTGTTTTTGCTTTTCCATTTTTCAATTTGCTGATCAGAGACTAGCAAATGAATGATGATTGGATGTACCAATTTTATGCATGACTGGAATTTCAGAGCAAAGTTCCCTGCATTTCAAATTTCAAGGAAATTTAACAAATGTATAGATATTGAAGATCAAATTAAGATGTAGCTGGCAACCAAACAGACTAGTGTTTATCGCATTTGGTGTATAAAACAGCTGAATGTTTACAAATTTACCAGGTGTGATCTTTTCAAATCTGAACAAATTTCTTTTTTTTTTTTGGCAGGTATTCTCTATCTGCTGCTGTCACTTACATGGCTGTCAAGAGAATTAAGCCAAAGAAGGTTAAGAGATAGCATGGTCTCTGTCTGGATACCTTCTGTGAGGCAAGTGTAACAGAATTTGACGTTGCTATTCATTCAAGAGATGGCACAAGAATTATAGTTTGCAGCTGGTAAGAATGAAAATGGATGATTAATTTGTGTTGCTGCTGATAGTTCATTGTCCATGCATGATGAAGAGCTCTTTCTGCTCATTTAAGCTAATCTTCCAGTGTTACCATTGTATCCAGCTTGCCGCGATATGTTGCATGTAATATTTGAAAATTACATGTAAATTTTTTGTCAAGATCAAGTTCTTTTGAAGATACATCTTGTTTGTGGAGGACCAGCAAATCAATATTAGCTCTGATTGATAATTTTGTTTTCTTCCCTCTAGTTGGTTTATTGTTGGTTCGATTAAAGGGTATGTACCATTGTTTGGTTTGCTGTCTGAATCGTTTGGCATACTTTATCTAGCATCTGCTGTCTGCTAAGCTGAAGGTTAAAAGTAGTTGTTTTTCTGACAAGTCGCTTATAAATCAAGACTTGGTATAAAAACCAGTGAAGATATAAGAATTGCTTTTTGGATTGGAGATCCTAGGGTTTTGATTTTTTCCTGTCTCTGATCTCTTTTGAATTGTTGTTTGCTTCAGAGTTCTTCTTGAGGATTCATCGTCCTCCATCCTATCTGGGGATTTAGGGTTTTATTTTCGTTTTTTTTTCCGATATTTTGAGTTCTTGTTTTTTTTAGCAAGACTGAGTTTCTTTGTATAGATCATCTTGGATTGATTTCTTGGATCAATCTTTGATATCTTTTAGTTTTTCTGATGGAGACAAATTTTATTTCGATGGTTAATGGACCTTCAGTTTTTGATTCAAAAAATTTTGTGGCTCATTGTATTTGGGGTGAAAAAGTCAATTCTGCTGGTTTTAGCTTTGAACAGCCCATTGTTTTGGAAACTGGGGGTAATGCTGAAGTTGAGTTAACCACGGTTGAGTTGAAATCACCGGTTGAGATTGGCTCAAATAAAAATATCGTTGAATCAACGTCGGTGATTGAGGAAGGGGAATGGGTTAAAGTTGTGAAAAAAAACCCTAAAACGCCGTCTTCTCCTTTGGTAAAAACTAAACCTCATTCTCGCTTTGTTTCTTTGGAGATCATTAGAAGAGATCATCTGTGTTTTCGCTGTGGTGGTGCAAATCATATGGCGAAAAATTGTAGGGATCCAATTCTCTGTTTCAAGTGTAATGATTTTGGTCATGAGGCCAGAAACTGTACCAGATTTGGTGCAAGAGGTAGAGGTCCAGGAGGAAGATTTGGTGTTAATGGAGGAAGAGGTCACTCTGGAGGCAGATCTACTATTGATAGTGGTGCGGGAGGCAGATGGGAACAAAACCCTAGAAATGGTAGATCTGGTAGAGCTAACCCTTGGCAATGGCGTAG